CTAAGACCATTGGAAAACACATATTTTCGATGGTCTTAGGAACCGAGACACCGCTCCTCTATCCGTCTCCAGGCCCACATGCAGATACGCCCACATACGAGTACCCAGCGACCCCTGTGAAAGGGTCGTTCGACCCCCAAAGGGGTCACAACCCACAGGTTGAGAACCGCTGCTCTAGGAGTTGAGTTTTGAGGTCTGGAGGTTATAGTAGTAGGCATATGGATAGGAGGGGAAGGAAAATATTTTTGAAGCTAAGCCACTCTCTCTCCCTCTCTTAACCCTCTGCAGCTATTGCTCTGGCCATGAGCCGGGATGGCTCGAGTGGGGGTGTCATCTACCTGGTCACCATTACAGCTGCTGGTGTGGACCATCGAATAATCTTGGGCAATGAACTGCCAAAATTCTATGATGAGTGAATCTTCCTCAGACTTAATTTCCTTATTTTTTAATAAACTATTTGAGAACAGAAGCTGGCATGGTTGATGGGAAATAGATGCTCAGAGAGACACAGCCTAGGGGAGGGGGCATCTTCCCTCCCAGATGTCAGCATACCCTTTTTATTCCTTTGCCCCCAGGTCTAAAACATCCTCCCCAGAGGAAGGAGGGCAAGGGGAGGGCAGTGCACTAGAAGGAACCCTGTACATGACAGGTCCTCATGTACTGAGTGATTTTGAAATATCAGAAACAATAGAAATTCCCATTCTGATGCCCCAGAGAAGAGGCTGGAAGTGAGGAATTTGGACTCATTCCTTTAAGGCTAAGACTTATAGGTGGATAAGACAGCGACACATGTGAGAATTCTCTAAGAGCACCGGCAAACTCCCATGTTAAAGAATTCCTTTCATAATTTATCCATCCACACTAGAGGTCAATAAGTGATAAGTACTTAAATTTTTAAAAAACAAAAGCATTTCAAAAGGGGGCACTCGTGAATCTCAAAGAAGAACAATAACCAAGAGAAATTACATTTATTGAACCAGGAATTCACTAAATGCTTATAAGCTTTATCTTTTAGAGCACAAACAATAAAACCTGTATAGGTACTACTACTGCTTCTGTTTAAAGACAGGTGGAGGCTTAGAAAGAGTAAGTCACTCGACCAAAGTCACAGCAAGTTCAAATGCTGAGATCTGAGGATTATATTTTACCATATGTCCTTCCTCTACCACTATATAAAACGTTCCATTCCCTCAAGCTTATATATCCCCTCCTCCTGAAATCTGTAATAACTAGCCCAGCACATTTGTTGCCACTTAGGAAGTTGTTACCAGATGTGTAACTGTATCAAACTGTTCTGTATTAAACCAAGTTCTGNATTATTCTGTGACCTTGAGCCAGTCTCCTCCCCTCTCTGGAAATGCTTCCTCACCTGTGACATGAGATGATCAAGGCTTTTTTTGCTCCAACATTCTATCCTCTGTGTCTCTGCAGACAACCATCATGGCAGTAGAGTTTGATGGGGGCGTCGTGGTGGGTTCTGATTCCCGAGTGTCTGCGGGGTAAGTACCAGCTGTCTGCGGGGTAAGTACCAGCTTTGGAAGGATGCTAATGGCCCTAAATATGCATTTTCCTTACCCATTCATTAAGAGACTAATGAACTAGAGCTTTGGAGAAATGGAATTAACCTTTCAGAAAGGTCACTATAATAATCTAAGTGGCTGCTTGTGTCTCTGAATTCAAGGAGGATCATCTGGGGTCTGAATGCTATGTGGCTTGTCCCTGGAAGAAATAGGGTCTAAGAAGGGGATAGTGATAGAGATTTGAGGGTCCCTCGTTCCATCTATAGTTAGAGACAGAAAAGATGGTTCTGACAAGCAGATATTCTGGTTTCTCATCTATCACATGTTGAACTAATTTTGTCTTTCACCCTCCTGGTCAGTTTCCTAACATGCAAAATGAGTATATGGGATTAGATCACTATTACTTACTTTATGTTTAGAACACGTAACTTCCTCAAGGTGGTTACTAGCAAAGAAAAACTGATGAGGAACATTAGTCTTAATATTTTTTATTTTATTATAAAATCTGAGCCTAAAAATAAATCTAATTTTGATTACTTTCAGTGTTTTGTTTACTTCAGATGATTTTTTTTGCTCCCTGCTTTAATCCAAGCATTACATTTCATGCATGCCATGGTTGTTCTCTTGTCAAATAAACATGAGAAACATTAGACAGTTAACCTCAAAGCTTCCTGCAACTCTAATGCCAATGATTGTTGACCCCTTCCCGACAGAGAGGCGGTGGTGAACCGAGTGTTTGACAAGCTGTCCCCCCTACATCATCGCATCTACTGTGCTCTCTCTGGTTCGGCTGCTGATGCCCAGGCTGTGGCTGACATGGCTGCCTACCAGCTGGAGCTCCATGGGTATGAAGCTTTGGGGTCCTCACACTACACCTGCTAGAGCTCCCCCAACCAGG